TGCATAACAAAACTGTACTTTTTATTTCATCAAACTGTAAAAGCCAAAAAACAAAACACAAAACAAAAAAAAAAAGACAAGACAAAAGATAAAACAAAAGGATAAAGGCCAGGTGTCATGTGGTTGTACCATTGGCAATCCCCATCTCCAACTGTTAGCGGGTTCAATTTTAGTTAGTAGTGCAGATTCAAAATGAAGCAGAAAGTTACTAGATTTATACCTGGCTACAGAAAAAAAAACTGCACCCCTTCCACAATCACATGCCCTTCGATAATTGTCAAGAGCCAATGTAGTTTCTACCACATCCTGTGTCTCAATGAATACAAGCTTATGTTGCATTATTTCCTACAAAAACAAAAGCATTAAGCATTTTTTTGGAGTACAAGCTTTTACCCCAAATAGGGAAGGGAAAAAGTGAAACAAGTAATACTTTTCACTTTTATATACTTGTGGGAAAATGGTCCATCATGCAATATGTCGTGAACAATCAACAATAAGAAGAGTTTTGTCACCTTTAGAATTCCTGTTTCGTTCCAATTTGCAATAATTCCATCCATATACGAATAACTGACAAAAAAACATACAATCCCGTCAGGGACAACAGATACCATCTCCACCAAGAGCTTCCCATAGTTTCTTACTACGCCAGGATCACTTCTCATATCAAATTTTGTACTAACTGGAAGTTGATCACTGAAAGAGGAAGCCAAATGGTCATTGACAAAGAATAAAATATAAGGGGATGAGAAGTTGATTACTTAGTTTGCGGTTAATAAAGAGAATACCAGAAGTCAGAAAATTTGAGCATAGCTTACTTAGATGAATATATTAGACAAATAACATACCTTCCTCTAGTTAGAACCATTGGACATATGCAATCTCTTGTCAATGACATTTTAAAACTCCGACTAACAACTGGATGGAAATTAAGAAGGCGAGGGTACAAGTCAATTGGGCTTAAAGTTCCTGAAGTGATCACCACTGATTGGAATCGATCAAATACAGGCTTTATGGCAAGTGAAGCATCATGGCAGCTAAGCTAGGATTCAGATACAAAGAAGTAGTAAGATACTGACCAAATAAATTCCGTAAATGGAAGAATCCAACATACAACAAGTACATGTTCAATTCATCTACCATGCAAGCATTAAATCTTAAGTGAAGGACAATATCCAGTATGCATACTTGCTGCCCTTACATGAAGGCGACATGACAGATAGGAATGATGAAAAAATATGTTACTTAAAATAAGAAATGGTAAACATCCATTGAGCAATTTCATTGATTTTGCAGCTCAAAGACTAAAAAAACAAAATGTGTTCAAAAAGACACTGTAATAGCATAACATTCAAAGTGGACTAAAATTGGTGATAGACCATGCACACCATTTGAATAGTTACAGAAATCTGCTAATAGATCATTTCCAGAGGAAAAAGAAAAATTTATCATGGAAAATATCCAAGAAGGAGAAACAAACCTGCAATACAGGGTCAGGAATATGCGGCATTCTTTCATCAAAAGGTTCAATTATAATTGAAAACCCACGAGTGTACGTCCCCACGAGGGTTGCAAAGTCACATATTGTCTGGATATGCAAGAACTCATCAGTATCAGTAATTTCTAGGGTCAACATGAGAGAGTGCAGTCGATCATAACAAAATTTTAATGTTTTCTGGTCAATTCCAGCTTGGCCATTGAGAGACGCAACAAAGCCAACAGGCCCTTCCTTTTCAACATTCTCAGTTTCAAGACGCCCTCTCAAATACTGAACTAATCTACGTAGAACATGCACAAAATGCTCAGCTCGACGAATATTTCCAGGTACAGCCTCTTTTAGAATATCATCAGGCAAGGCAGGATTTGCTAGCCAGGTGTCTGAGACTGCATATATGGAGAAAAATAGTATATGATCTTAAATAAAAGATTAAGGTAGCCAGTCCAAGTGTTTTTTAATGGCTTAATCAAAATTAGACATTAATGCAAGATCAACATACTAGGTAAGTTTCCCCTTTGTGCCAAACCCTCCACGAGCCGATTATATTCAGCACGCAATCTTCCCGCATCAGTGGCCTTGAACCTTCCTACCATATCAAAAAATTATAAAGGTTTTATTTAAAGACATTAATTTAAGAAAAGAAAGAGACACTTGCAAGATATAATGAGCAAGAGTTCAGTCACCAAATGCTTGAGGTTCCCAGTTTCCTTTTTCTACAACAAGAGTCTGCTTGATTAAAGGTAAAATGCAAAATGCATATTTCTCTGTTTGGGTATGCATAAGAAATTACCAATCATCTAAATGCAATGAAAATATCAAAATGAAAGGATATCAGTGCATTTGCAGGCAAAAGGCCCAAAACCCAGAGCAATTCCTAAAGAGAATTCCTAATTTGCAGATCAACAAACTACTTCTAACCAAATGCATGAGAGATCAACAAATGCAAACACTAAAATTCATAAGAAACACATACCTGTCAATCTCTTGCTTTATTCTGTTAAGATTCCTGGTAGCTCCTTCAAGGGTTTGCCTCCTCACGCTAACACTGAGAGCTTCGATGCACACATTATCAATATTATGTGCCTCATCAAACACCACAACAGACTCCCTCTGCAGCTCTTTTGAAATAATCCCAGCTACCTTTGGATCAAGCAAGTACTGATAGCTATAAACAATCACATTTGCAAACTGCACCACATGCCGTGCCAAGAAGTATGGACACCAACCTTTCTCCTTACCAAAAGCCCTAAGATCCTGAAGTCAAAGTGATTTTATGAGCTTCTAGAACCTTTCAGCTTCTGAATAGCAGGAATCATGTTCAGGCCATGGAACAAATTAGCGAATCTCAACAAAAGGACCTAAATAAGCACCTAAATCTACCTATGACCAGGGATACAACTCCACCTTCAACAAGTTTTGAAGGAAATGATGCAGGTCAAACCCCATTATATATTTCAATCATTAGACTGAAACATAGATACATATATATGTTCTTTAAAATTGTTCACTGATTAGTAAAATACAGATTAAGCAAATAGAAGGAAATCACACAACAATCATTTGGAAAACAGAATAAATCAGAAATCAGGTTATTGCCTGGTTAATTGGTTTCTACAAGAATGAGTAGTCCCCCAAGTGCCCAGAATTTTTTCCTTGAAAAGAATATCTTAGAACAAAATTTTTGTATTCTATACTCAAGTAAGCACACAGTCGACCTGACTCTCATATATCTATTTCCAAAACCAAAAAAAAAAATCTAGTGCAAATAATTTTGCACTTAATCTTATTATTCCATCCATATAAAGTCATCTAAGAACCACGCAATATGAACATCACTTTTACAACTCACTGAATTACAGGCAATGAACATTCCCCTGATATACTGCATCAGATGAACTTCCTATACATATAAACATTCAAGGCTATCCTTTAATTAAAAAAATCGAGGGAAGCAAATAAACTACACAAAAGCTTACTCCTAGTGCGTTTCATTTGAAGTACGGAGAAAATAAGTCCAAAAATTTTGCAAGAATCAGAGAACATCAGCATGGCTAATATTCCTAAAAAGTACATTTTTTTTAGTTTTATGCCTAAAAAGTATATGGGAAGAGATATATATATATAACACAAGCTATCAATCTTCACGAAAAACCTATTTGTATTTATCCATTTCAAGACCAAACCAATGTAATAATTATTTCCTTTGTTTTTGTTATTAAATGAAGAACAAAAAAAAGTAAATTTAAAATGAGAGCAAAGCAAACGCCAAAAGAGAAAACCAAAAAATCGAATTACCTGCAACGTATAAACGCCAGGAGGCAAAATCGCAGCAGAGGCAGCCTTCTCATAGCTCTCAAAGTAATCGCAGAGCTCCACATTGGGGTTCTCCGCCGCCGTGGCCCTGATCCAATTCGCCGTCCGTTTCCTGCAAGCGGCGTCTACAGAGTCCCGATTCTCTGAAGCCAAAACCCTAGGATTCACGCAAAGATTTTTTCTCGAAGAAAGGCCGATAGCCAGGATCTTGGCGGCGGCGCCCAGGTGCTGGACCTGGTAGCTATACAACAGCTTTAGTTCGGCTAGGGTTTTCTCCATCTCATGGACAGTGCGCGTGCAGTAAATGAGCTTGACAGGCGATTCTGGCTTGGAGAGACGATAACTAGTGATGAGGGAGAGAAGAGCAATGGTCTTGCCAGTACCAGTGGGCATCTCGAGGAGGCAGTGGCCCTTCGCATCCAAGGCTCGCTTAAGCTCCAACATATACGAGTACTGCTCTGGGTATATGTTGTCGTATGGAAAGTACACTCTGACATCTTCTAGCTGGAAGATCATGGTTCCTTTTCTCGCGTCAGTAGGTATTTGAGAACGCAGAGGAAGTGGCAAAGTTCACTTCAGTTTACGGGGTCTCTGAAATCTTCTTCTGCAGTTTTTTCTCAGCCCGGTATTTATAGTGATATCTCGGGCAAAAAGGAGCAAACTACGTACCCGAGTCCACAATTGGGCCGAGCGTGACGACCCGAAAACAAAGACGGCGTTGTTTTCCCTTTTTTCTTGGGCCCATAAAGCACTTGCTAGTTGCTCTTTCAAGAAGGGTTTAAAATTCCATTTGTTCCACTTCTCATTTAAATCTGAGTGAATTTCTACTTTTGCTTATGGCATTAACCTTAATGTATAATATTATTTTTAAGAAGTGATTAACCTAATTAGCAAATCCAATCGAACCGTCCTACATGTATATGTTCGCTTCATTATCCTTGTAGTTTTTATAATCACAAAATAAATCTAAGTACTTCAAAACTCAAAAGTCCTACGAAACTACTCTTAGAGAAAGGAAAATTTTAAAAGGGAACAAATTTGCCATCTTAAGTTTCGAATGCTATCAACCTTCAGAGGATCAAGCAAATATGAGAGAGAGGTTATTTATAAACACTGAGAAGAAAAATTTCGGTTATTCTTCTTCTCGTCCCTCGAGTGCTAATCCCTTGATTACATGTCTACATTGAAACCTGCAGCAATCCAGGATGTGGGACTTCAATAACATAATACCATGATGCACGATGAAAATTATGTTAACAATATCTGGGGCTATTTGCTAAACAGCATGCAATGCTTCGGTACGCGAAACACAGTTTGGTCAAACAACACTGTTTTAAAATGAGCAGCTTTTCTCCTCACCGGCAAAACCTTAGTTGTGATAAAACTATTGATGAAAAAATTGAGTTGGGACGGGGAAGTGAAGGAATGAAAATAATTTGGTCATATCAGCCAATGACTCTTACTGCATTCCAAAACCTGTTATGCATTCATAACTAATGGATATTTAGTTTCTACTGTAATAGAATTAATTAAAACCTGAAAAGTTCGGAAACACTATCCATTAAGCATCAGCCCTTAAAATGATAGTTAAAGGAATAGAAGAAGCTTGACAAAAACTTCCCTTCCACTATATTTCTTTAGAGAAAATTCTCTTGCATATCAGATTATACGTAAGATTATAAAAAATAAAAAAAAATTGCTGACTGTGTTACAAGCACAAGATAAATATTGGATAAGAAATAGCATTGCATTAATTCTATCGGAAGGAAATTTGAGAAATCAAAGTAAATAGAGTAAATTTTGAAAAGACCTCGGCATTTAATTAGTTCAACTTCCGTACCAGATGAAATCATTGGAAATAGCATCTTTTAAACAAGTGCTGTTTCTAGTCTGAGAAGCATGATGAAGAGAATCCATCTCCCCAACTCGAGTTCTACACTTGAACCTCAGCCTGAAAGGCACAATCTGTAACAAAAAGTAAAGGATAATGAAAAGAGTAATTATTGAACACAGGATATAGAAATGACATGACAGCATAAACAACGTAAATAATGCATGCTGTTTTGCTAGAGAATGAAGCTGCAAGACATTCAACCAAGCCAACATTTCACATACTGATGAAGACTCGTTCAATGAGTTCTGATTCAGCACTGCAGCTACAATCATACACTCTATTGACTTTTGTTAAAATTAGGTTCAGTCCCAATTTCTTCATTCTCAGAAAACTCGACCACATGCAATATATGAACTTTGCTAGGTGTAACCCAGAATTATGTCCTTGAGAACAGGAGTTTACAAGCTTAACTAAATGCTCCCAGGATATGAGACTCATTTATCAGTCTAGTTTTATCATTACCTTTTTGCTATATCTAAAGTCACGTTTGGGAAGAAAATGTTGAGGCAGATTGAAAGAAGAGGGAGCTTTAACCAATAGAAACAGTTTTGTGGGGCCTGAAAGATAAGAAAAATTTATATATGGAGATATATATATATATATATCTGATATAAACATATTTACATGCCTTTTACCAGATGGCCTATGTTGTCATGGAAGTGAGCCACGCTAAAGAAATTACCTGGATAGGAGCTAGATCCGGCATCCTTTGAGATCAGTGCTCGAATAGCCTGTTAAAAGAAACATGAGATAATATAAGTTCCCAATGCCACCCTGGTGGAAAAGGAAAAAGAGAAGCAAATAAGATTGAAGCAATAGCAATAATAAGAAACCTTTCTTGAAAGCATTTCTGCAGCTTTGCTTTTAGAAAAATCTCCTGAACCACTGGAGACAACTTCTCCATGTGAAAAGAACAACTCATATACATAACGTGGTCGTATTGGACTCCCACCAAGAACCAGCATGACTTTTTGAACATTAGGAATCTCTCTAACCATAAGTTGCAATGCTGTTTGAAGACTAGAAACTGTATTCATCAACTTCTCTACTCGTTTAATCTCACGCTTGATTTCTCTCATTCTGCTAATGTGTTTTCTTCGAACTGACACTTTTTTCACTTCACTTTGAGTAAGATCCAATTCCTATTACCAGATATTCTCATGGTGTATAAAATAAACAAGGAAGATATAATACAAATTATTTCTATGCAGCTAACATACCAACTCCTTAAATTCAGTGCACAGAGTATCAAATTCCAGGGTCATATCCTGCAAAACGCTGAACAAAAGTATGGGACTTAAAGATCCTTTCCAACAGCATGAGTTGGGGAAGGAATTTATGAAGCTGGCTTCAATTACTTTGAGATTGCATTTGGCTCATTTCATATGTAATTTCTAGTCAATTCATAGCTCTAGTACTACTTAATATGCATGAATAGAATATAATTTGTTTTGTTTGAATTACCATCATCCATATTTTAAAATCCTGACTGTGAAAATTCAAGTTATACCTCTTAAGGTGTGTTGAATTCCCACCAGCAAAACATTTAAGACGCAAATGATGGTGGTTTATACAATATAATTTACTCTCTAGTTATAGATATTAAGACTAATATGAGAATGAGATCTTGAAGTTGGACCAAAAGCAGAGTAAAAATAGTCAGAATATTGACATCCACGACAATGAGTATTACCAGATTCAGAAGACAGAACACAGAAACCAGATCCTGAACACTATCAAATGCTTCATTAAAAGTGAACAGTTGGATGAAGAACCTAAAAACCATAATCTTTCTAGCTTAAGATACTCAGACTAAGAAGACTAATAATTACCATTGTCAGCAATGTTAGTGAAAAAGGAACTAAATCGTAAATAAAATGTCAATGTCCCTTCCCCTCTCCCTCACGCTGTTCTTTCCCCTCCCACTCCAAAAAGGCCATTGCAGATACCTCACAAGTAGTATTTCACTGGGAAAACTCAGGTAATCACGTCCTCACAGATGCAATATGTTAATTTTAGCGGATCTATAAGAAGATAAAAACAAAATTAACAACTAAAGCCCCAAATTATGAGAATGTACGCGAATTTGATTGCTCATATGCACTGTTTAACTGTTCTATGCACTCAGAAAACAGAATAGTGCCATAAATGAGACGACGAGATGAATGGTGCTAAACCACTTAAAAAAGAAACAGATTAATAGAGTTAATATATGCAAGCTAACAATTTAGACAGCTGTAAATTTTACGATAAGAAAAATGCAATATTCCAAATATATTTTCAATAATTTTCCTGTGATTTCTTAGGAACCAACCGGAAAAATCAAAAGAGTAGAGGCAGGAAGAAACATACGAAGGGATTTGCTGGTGCATGTAGAGGACAAATCCTACCGAGTCTCTGACGAGGTGGAAGATCACGCTGCCGTCCAGAAATTCCGCGTTAGACACGATTTCCATGTACTCCTCCGAACTTCCTTCTTCCGCCATTTCAACTTCTTCCAGGGTACGAGAGAACAAGAGGAAGACTCCGAAACTTCCCTATTGGTTCTGCACTAAAATTATTGAGCGGGACAAATGATCAAACAGGATTCACGAAAAGTAAAATGGTTCATTTTCTTTTTTCTTTTTTTTAATTTTTTAATTATCGAAATAAACCCTTTACTTTCTATCATTTTTTATTAAAATTACTAATAATATAATTACTTAAAATTTATTAGAAATTATAATTATATTATAATTATCTTAAATGTTTAATCTAATTTTTCCTGATTGCAATAATTGTTTAATTAAAAATTTTACGGCATTAAGATATTATACATAAAAATTACTTGTATATTTGCATTCACGATTGTATTAACTGATTATTTAAAAATTTTTATATATTAAAATTGCATTTAACTCTCTAATTAAAATGAACAGTTTAATTAAAAGTTCAACTTAAATTAAATTTTTAATTAAAGTTTTATTGATTCCAAATTAAAAATTCTGTTGGAATTAAAACTGTCCACTAAAAATCTACATGCAAACTTAATTTGTTTATCAAAATTTAGTAAAAAGCTAAAAATTCTAAACTAAAAAGTGTGTTAACTGTTTAATTAAAGTTCTACTAAATATAAAACTGCTTAATTAACTATTGTTATGAATAACAATTAATTGTCTAAATTAAAACTTTATTAAAATTTAAAAAAAAAATTGCATATCAAGTGTATTAACTATTTAACTAAAAATTATATTAAAATTAACAAAATCTAATTAAAGAATTAATTGTCTAAATGAAATGCTCTTAAGAATTTCTCTTAATTGTATTGTCTCCCTTCTCATCCTGTAGGTTCTTCTATACTCACCAGTTCATAACACCATATCTCACACCTTAACCTGTACCTTTCTTTTCTAACTACATACACAAACTAACATCTATATGTTAAAGGCTAATCCAAAAAGATCATATCCATAATCTAATCCTAATTAGAATATCATAGCCATAATTTAAAGCTAATTGGAAGACAGATAGATTTCGAAAAATGAGTTTATTAATTGCTAACTCGTAGAATACAAGGTTAGAGTACACGATTACATTTTTTGCAGCATTTCGGTGATTGACATGAATTCCTTTCAGGATCAGACAATGTCTTTGAAGAATCTTCCGGCGACGACGACGATGACGATGACGATGATTCTTTCCTAGCTGGTGATTGATCCGCCTTCGTTTTACGGTTATCCAGCGTATTTGAATGTTCCTTCGGAGATACAGGTACTGAGGCCGCCGCACGGGCGTCCTTCTTCGGGCAAGAATTAGAGGCTTCAATTGCCTTGCACCCAAACCCCTTGCTACAATTGTAAATCCGGCGCTTGACGGGATCGGACAAAACAGCATAGGCTTCATTGACAATCCTGAAAGCGTTCGCAGCAGCAATGGACTTGTTCTTGTCGGGATGCAGCAACCGCACCATGCTCGTGTACTGTTTCTTGACGGTGTCCGTGTCGACGAACGGATCGTGAATCCGAAGTAGAGTATAGAAGCTCCTGTTCATAGCGGCGGCTTTGTGTGTGATATAGGCAGCAAAGAATGGGAAGCTGTCGGGTAGAGATGGTTGGAGGTCTGCGGCTCTCATTATGGACTCGAGAGCCATATCGAGGTTGCCTTGCTTGAAGAAATTCTCTGCGTCATTTCTGGCTTGGATTGCTGGTGTTATGTTGGAGGAGGTGGCCATGGAAAGGAAATGTTGAAGAAGATGAAAAACTGCTGGCTTTGACGGAATGTCGCGACCGCGGGGGTGTCGTTTATATAGGGGGCTGGAGGGAAAGATCGGACAGAGTTTCCGGAAATGCGCGCGGTTTGGTTAACTCTAATTTAATGAGAATTTGATAAATTAAAATTAAATTAAGAGCTATAACTAAATCAAATGAACAAAAAATTATCACTTGAAAATAATTTGAGGGAAATTTGAATTTGAATCTTAGTTAAAATACCCTGCAAGATATATGTATACTTCACATCTTTTCAGTTTTTAAAGGGTTACAACTTACAACAGAAAAAAGAAATTCAAGAAAAACTAGAGACACCTGTTAGTACATCTGTTATGATGAATAAGAGGCTAAAAATCTGCAAGAGAACATTCTAAGCTCGACTGAAAATCGTAAGAGAGCATTCAAGCACAGCATCATGCTCGAATCATAAAAATCTCAGGGTGATCCTACTATATTAGTACATCTGTTAATCATAAATACAAACTGCATCAAGTACAAATTATAAGCAACACCAATAGCTTACATAATTTAGAGTCCAAAACACCCTACCGCTATAATTTTTTACATCCAAATCTTTCTACCGAGAATCACTTGAATCTACAAAAATTTTAGACCTGGTTCCGATCTTTATACATAACTAAGTTGCAAGCTTATATTCCACCATATTGACTGTTCACTAGCTCGTGGGATATAATCCTTTATCTGGATGCAGCAGTCCTTTGTCCAAGTCCAAAATCAAGGTCTCAGAATCAACTCCAGCACCGAATTAATCTACCTCCAATCAGGTGATTTTTGTGCTTATTGTTTTGTGCAGAAACTTCCCTAGAACACTGGCTCTGATTGACTAGATCACAGCTATTGAAAATGATCAATAGTCCTCGGAGAGTCTCTGCAGCCAAGAACAGAAAAATTCCCTATTATTGGCAAGTGTTCAGCATGTGATAGGGATTTCAATTAAAACATTAAAGAGAAATACCAGGTCGTCAATACTAATGAATTGTTCCCTCTTCAAATGTTATACACCATATCTCCTTAGAGCTTTGCTTAAACTTGGCATAACATTATATGCTTGGTAAGATCTTCCAAGTTCTATAATGGAACCCACCTGAATGCGAAAAGGGTCAGGGTAACCAAAAAGGCATATTTTTGTGCAATTAAACAGCACTAGGTCAGGACTTACAATTATTAAAACAGAAGTAAGACCAATTGCAAATCCTTCATTGATACTGCGTAAATAGTGATCCAGTATGGTTGACATAGTTGCCAAAATACTTAGCAGTAGGCCCCCTGAGAATTACCAGCCCAAAAGACAAATCAATGCTTGAGATTAGATGTTGATAATGCCCGGAACTATTTGCAATTAATAGATGTAAGTATACCCCAAAACCGTGTTGACGCCTGAATCTTCATGAGATACTCAATTGTTGCTTTCCCAGGCTTTATATTTGGTATTCTGGCACCCATCTTATTCAAATAATCTGATATTTCCTTCGGCAAGTTGGCCTACACAATAAACACGAGTTAAATCATAGTTGCACAAGGCTAAAGATTTGTAACTCAAAATTAAAAATAACTTAAGAAAATTCGGGTTGCAACTTCTGTGTTCATATTCTTTTTTTTTTAGAAAAAAGAGAGAATATTATTTTGCACAGCTTCCTTGTTCATATTCTGAAAATAAAATAAAATAAAATTTCGCTTATTTGTGATAATCAACAGCATTAAAAGTATTATTACTGAACTTAATACTAGATAAAGCATATTTCTCGGAGAACGGATAATCAAATGCTATATTTTTTTCTTTTGAAATAAAAGTGCAGAAAAGTATTATTCATAATGGTACCTAAGGGATACCACCCGTATACAAATTATTTACCATCAAATGCTATATTTTTTAAAACCATAAATGTAGCAATTAAAAGCAAACTTTTTAACACAAATTTTTTTCCACAGCACAACCAAACATATTCCACATATTTTGAGAAAACTCAGGTTTCAACTTTCATTTTGACATGCATGCATTTCATGGAACAAAACAAAAATGAACTTTAGGCATCACCATTTTGTTAATCATTTAAGAACCTTATTACTGCATATATTTCTGTAACTAGTACCATGGAAGTTAACACACAGCAAAAGAAAAAAGGATAGAAAGCAAGAGGCTGAGAAGATACTCACAATGTCAAATATGTTGAATAGAAAGACAAAAAAAGCATAAATTGAATAGTAAATCCAAGGTGGTGCACCAACAGATGTCTCAGGGTTCAATATCTCCTTAACATTCTCCCAGAAACGTGAACCAAGGATACTGCAAACAAGGCTCTGTATTAGACAATTATAGTGGTAATTACAGATAAAATAAATTGCTGTTGTAACCAAATGAAAACTGCAATGACTCACTTACAGAAATACATAACGGGATCTCATACTCGGATAATGAAAAAATGAACTTAAAGTTAATAAATAAATCAGCTGGATAGAATTACCTAGCAAGAATGCTGGGAAATGCTAAGAGATAAGTTGTTGTGAGAATTGGTTGCATTCCTGATGGATTGATTTTAAAAGGGATATAGGGTTCCACCTCAGTAATCGGGGAACCTTCTCTGTTGAAAAGATAAAAGAATAAGAGTGCAGATAAGCAAGGTCATACTATCAGATATTGATATCCAGATGATAGCAAAAGCAATTGCTTAAGTGGTGATAATAAATTCAACCAGGCTTTTTGTGAATGCAAATTGATAGTCACTCGTATTATTAAACTAATGGGCATGAAACTTATAAGCTTGGAAAGTTTAATGGATATGATAGTTATTCAATCTCATAACATGCTTAGAACAAAGAGAGATTTATTTGAAAGAAGAACAAAATTGAGTCACCTCGTAATGAATTGTGAAAGATGTTGTGTTTATTAGACAAATTGAGTCACCAAATTATAGATCTCCTGATTTAGTTGTAAGCAATGGTGTTGTCAAAGTTGAAACACTGATATTCTTGTTGATTTTTTAAGAAGAAAAAGGTCCCACCTCAAGAAACTACAAAATTTATTTGGCTCCTAACAGCAATGAGGAAAGTTTGGATATTCTCCCTTTTAAAAATTTTGTTATTTTTACTTCGTTCACTATATCTTTAGAATCCTTGAGTTGAAAAGTATTCATGTTTTTCCATGACAATTTCAAGTTTCACAACCTTTAATTGTTAAAAAGACAAGCCCTAATTTGGATATTCTTTCTACTTCAACATTTTAAAACTCGAGGTCGAGTTTACACCAAATAACATAGAACAATGCAGAACAAGAAGATCCTAGAGTGGGCATATTCCAATAATAAGTTATGTTTATGTAACTGTAATGTTTATGCACTATTAAGGTATTTAGCTTAGTTAGGGACTAATATCCATAGGCATACTAATGACATAAGTTCATTATTTCCTATTTAGTTAGGATCCTATTTAGTTATTTTCTATTACAAGTTATTTTAATTAATTAGCTTCTTTTCTTATTTTGTAGAAATCCTCAGTACACTTAAGAGTTCCTATTTTATTTATATTTTGACGCCTGTAAATAGGATATCCTAAGTAAATTATTGGTAGGCTATTTATATAATTATTATTTAAATATAGAGATATTAATTTGATTATTGAGATCCAAGATCTCCAACTTTGATTCTTAAAAATCTCCTCAAAGTTTCCTAATCAAGCTCTACTTTTCCTACATCAATTTAATGGATATGACAATGATATTCAATCTTATTATATGCATAACACAAAGAAAGATTTTGTAGGAAAGTTGAACAAACAAAAGATAGAACCCATCAACAGAATAATTCTGTGTAACACGTACATTCTTCCAAAAGACAACACTATAAATCTTTCAGAAGAGAAGACATAAATTTTACTGGACCACACTAATGGTTTTACCTTGCAGCAGAAGCAAGTTTGAATCCATAGTACTGCAGTTTTATCTTTCTACAACCCTCAGTTACAAGAACTGCCCACATAGTAACTATGGTAAAAACACCTAACACTGCAAGTATATACGGCCACCAATTCGCAGCACTTCCTGCAGGATAGAAAAGGTTGATCCATTATAACATACCCATTCCTTAAACTGAAACAATGAGAGAATACTAATAATCATATGTCCCTCCATCACTATATTCAAGCTTAAAAATTACATAGTCAAGATTACGGCTATTTACTAAGTTTCTATACTGCATTAAGAATAATGATTGACAAAGTGGTTCAGAGGTCTGATTTTAACAATCTGCTCCCCTTTGTCTGAACTATATGCATGTCCAACTGCTTTTCTTGACAATCGATACAGTCTCCATTATCTTTCTTTTTTTTTTTAAGTAAACAGTCTCCATGATCTTAAATCCGCTACCATATTCCATAGAAGTTTATGCATGGCCAAAGCATCAGATACTTTAAAAACAAACTCAAAGTAGGTCAATTAGAATTAGCTGACAATTCTGATGTTAGGGACTCAATATTTTAGCATGTTAATCTTTAGATGCTAATATATTGATCATGCATTGGCCATAAGCAGGATCCCACATACTATCAAATATATAGTTCCACATGGACCAAGGATAAGCATCTACAGTCGTTTATATACCTCTTGGACAACTTTTCCTAATACCATATGGTTTTGGGTTGAATCTAACTCTTAGCACATGAATAAGCTAAAAGAGAAATTAATATAGGAACAAGTTGTCACAAGATCAATCTTAACTTAGCAGAAAGAAATATGCAAATATCTTTTACAAAATAAAATACGCAGGTAACAGATGTATATTTAAGATGACATAAACATGTTTTGGAGGTTTTCAAACTTAATGATTCCTTCAGAAATTTTCCACTCCCAGAGCCAGCAATATATTAATGAAGGCCATAACTCCAAACATTAAGTCTGCATGGAATAAAGCCCTGAGCCCCCAAACCACAACTTCAAGCAAAATTAGTAAATTGTTCCAGAGAACCAGAATCCCTAATAGGCAGAGCAAACTGTCATTCCTGTAATCCAGAAAAGAATTAATTTCTGCTAACTTGTAAATCCATTTTTTTGCAGTGTTTGCGCCTCGTTCCTGTCATTCTCATTTTCCTTCTAAAATATATATATACATACCCAGAGCAAAATATTGGGGTACTAATGCGGAAATATGTTACAAACTACAGTGAGTTGTACAAGAGCTGATCCTTAGTCACATACCCAAGAGCTGAGATGACATCTTGTGCAATGTTTCTATATAGCCCGTTAGTATTCCCACACAGATTACAAGAGATGAACCTTGGCCTGAAATATGTAGAACCAATTAAGAAAGTGACTATGCCAAGAACAATCAGAAAAGAAAGGAACATGCAAGTTCATTTTGATTGTTGATTAGAAATGACCAGACAATCAAACAAAATCAGAACAACGAAATCACCTGGAATTAGCAATACCAGATTTTCTGACAAAAGTTTATCACACTCGGATAAAAATTGAACTTTATAAACATAGTAAATATCTGTAAGCGCTAAAAGAAGAGTAAATTAACAACTGAAAGTGAGAAAGAATGGCATAGCATGTCATTCTGTCTTCAATTATTGCCTTGATGTCGAATAAAAATTGAAGTTTATAAACATAGTAAATATCTGTAAGCGCTAAAAGAAGAGTAAATTAACAACTGAACATGAGAAAGAATGACATAGCATGTCATTCTGTCTTCAATTATTGCCTTGATGTAAAGAGGACAAAACACAAAGCAAATATTACCTCCAAAAGAAAATCATTATCTCAGTAGGATTTATCAAAGCCATTGTTATCTCTTGCAACAAGAACCATTCTTTGGAGTTCAGCATTTGAAAGTTACAGCTAAACTTCCAACAGTTTACTACTATCTCTAGGCACAAATTTTTTTTAATGTTCACAATAGAAACAACACATGACCTATTTTGCCAAAGCTCTTACTAAATGGACTCTGAGATATGATATTACCACTCTCTGGCAACAATTAGAATTAATTACAGAAAAAAGAAAGGCTTTTCATGTCAGAACAAGCATAAGTCATGTTTGTAAACCATGTCTCTAAGCCCCTTGATTCTGATATTAATATATATTTATATTTTGTATTTTTTTAAAAAAAATCATGTATGTAAGCCACTAACCTAGACTGTGTTACACTAAAAGAGAACTTTTTTAAAAAAAAATAATACACTAAAAGAGAAAACTTGTGGGAACAAAGTTCCAATATTTGTACTATAATCTACCTCATGGTAAAATTAACTGTCATTTCCATAACAATAATTTAAGAGTTCAGAGCTCCATTCCTTGTCCTTTCTTCCAATATAATTATAACATACTAATGGAACCGAGATGCAGTGAGACAAGGTGCATGAGGATGTCAACAAGACAAAATAATTTTGACGGACCATAGAGTAGCTAAAAGACTAAAATTGAAGATCAACCAGAATCAAATGAGTTCACCAAGATTTAAGAAAAATACCAAATCCAGATTCCGATATTGTATCGCAGATCCATGTCATAGTCATTGCACCACAAACCAGCAAAAAAGTTGTCACCATCACATGCTTGGCCCTGAAATGTCAAAAAAATTTCTAAGTAAATAACTTCAATAAAACAGTCTTAACAAAATGACGCTACTAATACTAATTACCAGCATGGTTAAACCAATTTGAAGTAGGTTTGAGCCCAACAGGGATTTAGAACAACACTGTTCCAGATATTGCTTTTGACTAAAAAACTGTTGCTAAATCCTCAATGAAATAAAAACAATTTTCATGTAGCCACATTAAAAGCAAGAAAACATTGTTAAAATGACAATCTCCTTACTAAATTACCGGTAACTTGCTGCGTAAATTGAATATTGGAGAGAATTACAGGCAACTATTACAGCTTCCAAGATAGCAAAGCCAAGTGAAAGCCACCATCTGAATATACAGAAAAACCAGAGCTTATGACCTTCTTAATAAATGGCAAAAAGTTGATGTGCAACAGGAAATTGTCTAGCAAGAGATCGTCTCACTGCTTGAGATGAATAACTAGACACACATATAACTCTTTATCTTCTCGTGGCCATCTAAACCTTCCTTCCGCAGCTTTACTAAGGATGGAACAACATAACAGAGCACCTGAACACCCATTCATGAGAGTGAGAGTAAAACTGTGATCTTAGAAAATTCAACGGCGCGATATAGCATATTCAAAAAGAGGGAAATAAGTGTGGCAAGAAGTAGGCAGTGTAGTAATATATTCAAGATAATTTATGAACAGTCATAGGCTGGATCTTAGAAAAGCAACCTTCACAACCTTTGATGGCCTCAAACATGTATACTTCAATGAAGAAGTTGCTACAATAAGGTTGCTAAAAGTGCTTTCATATGATTACAAACATATAAAGTTTAATGCGCTTATAATCACTAAGTTATTTGCCAGTTGTCCAAATGATTATGAAAACTAATATTATTAAAATATCCAATTTTTGCATCATATTTAGTAATGAGCAAGCAAGTAATCTCTTCCAGATTGTAAACTCATAAACCCAAAGATCTCCAAGAACTTAAAATGAAAAGTTGCAAAGTAAAAAATGATGAGGCAAAAGCTCATAAACAAACATTCAACTTCAATCTGATGCTTCAAATTAGTTTACAAGATAATGACCAGTTAGCTTTGGAAGTGTCCCATCTCATGGGAAGGATAAACCAGCCCCATAAAGAATTTGAACCAACAAATTTCCACCCGAAAAAAGAGAAAGAAAGAAAAACGATACACACCTGCATAATTATTGATGCTATAATCTGAGGACTGATGCCAAGCTGGAAAAAGGACAGTTTTAGGCCCGATCCAAAATCACCCAGGTCATCTGAAAATTAAAAAAAAAAAAAAAGAGAAAAAAGAATATGACTACAAATTTCCACAGCATTTCATTATCATTAATATTTCTTGTACGATTTCTCAGATGAGGGAAAAAAAATAGAAAAATGGAAAACATTACTCGGCAATAAATCTTAAATCTAGAAGCGCAAGTCTATTTGCAGATTTCAATCAACTCACCAACAGAACCAGAGACAAAGCTAAGGTAATCTTGAGGTATCAATCTTCTATCAAATCCAGGTAGAGGAATGAAATATCCAACACGACTAATTACAAGTAGTACAGCTGTTACAAATAACCTTCGCCGTATCTCACTCTTGAAAAATGATTCTGCAGCATTGTTGAGGACAGAACTTAGGCGAACGAAGTTTAGAAACCTATTTCTAAATCTTCTCGATCTATACTGTAGAGTCTCTAATTTATCATCACCATGCAACCTAACAAAATCAGCTCCATCAGTAGGTTGTGGTGGAATAACTTCAAGATTAAGAGATTCTGCAGATGTTGCCTCAACATTCATGTAGTCACTTCGGAGTTGATCTGAAGAATTAGCAGCAAATCTTTTGTTTTTTCTTGACATGAATGATCGATTTAGCATAAAAAAATAACTTCGATTAGAATTCCCCATATTCATCTTGAGACTATAACGTGTTCTAGGATATGTGGGACGATAAAATTGTAGATTGTGTTCTGCGCAGCCACCTGCATGTCAAATAATATTTACAAATTAAATTGAGCTCTAACTTGCATTCAGTTAATAGCATTCTCTGTTAAGGCAACAAAAAGATGGAGAATAACAACCCTACATTATATTTCTCACATTTCTTTAGTTAGGACATGCAATCTCCAAATAAAAACCATGAATGGAAACTCAAGAAGATAAGGAAAAAAAATCCACAAATAAGAGCTTGAAGAACCATATCAAGTGACAACTGCATTTCCTATATTATCATAAAGCTGTCAGTATTCATATTAATGATTCTTGATGAAATAGAAAATCCCTATTTCTTAATAGCATGATAACATGGACTTGTTTGGTTTATGTCCATTTTACTTATACTAGTCTTGAAATGTATAATTATAACACAATTATTTACGTTTAAATCATCTCATCCCAAAGGGTTCAAGATGGAAGTAGTGGCGGCTCAAACACAGAATTCACCAAGTTTTGATCTCCATAGGAAGCTGGAACTAAAATAAACAGTCGGTTTTGACAAGAACAATAATATGAAGTAACAAAGTAAATAATAGCTCTAACTCAAGAAAACTCATAGGTGGACAAGGAGACAGCAACTCTCAGTGTATAAGGAAAAAATAAAGAACGCACTCCAAACAAAAACTTCCAAGTCTACTCATACCTAAGTAGCAAACGACGCATTGGATTTTACTTTCTAAATTCACAACCATCATTATCCCAATATCCACAAAAAAAAAAAAAAACACAGCTGAAAATGAAGAAACGAAAAACGCAAAATCCCCCGTTCGCTTCCAGAGAAAAGTAAGAAAGTGAACAACGAACAAACAAACAGCGAGAATTAGCGTTTTCTGTGATAGAAAAGAGTGTTGAAGAAGGTAAACTAATCCAATTAGCTTTACTCAAATTCCTATACTTCTCTTCCATTATTATTTCTTTTCTTTCATCTGTTAAAAACCAAACAGTGCAGAGCATACCTTGAAAATTTAGAGGCTTCGCGTTGAAGAGGCAGGAATAGAAGCGGTGGGAGCTGAGAAGAGTCGCCCCCATGGAGACTCAAGCAAGACGAGCAGAGAGGAGTCGAGAACGAAGTTGAGAGGGGGGTCGGTTTATTTTGATTTTTACGCACATCGAAATTGCAATCGCAAGTGCATGGATCCTCTACTTTATCCCTAGTTTAAAATCTTTGCACCCCCACTCCCATCCAACCACGTTTACGACTTTTTTCTTTAAACGAAATATTAAACGAAAAAAGCGTCCTTTATATTTTGATTGTTTTAGATTTCAATTTGTTTATTTCTTTCCTTTTTAGAATAATTTAATTATTCATATTTATTTCAGTTATAAAATAATAAAATTTCTAAATTTTGTGATAAATTTTACATGGTATTTTAATAGATTAATTTTAAACTGTAATTTGTTTTTTTATTTTTTCAAGATTTTTGTGTTAAAGACTTACATATATAAAATTGTCTATTCTGTCCTCCTCCTCCCCCCCAATCTTCTCCGGCTTCCTCAACTTCTCTTTTTTTTTTTCTGTCCCCCTCTCTCTCTATCTCTCTCTGTAAATTTTCACCATCATCTTCTCCTTCCCAATTCCTCTCTCTCTCTTCTTTTCCTCTGTTACTCCACTATTCGATGAACAAGAGATCTGAAGATATGTTGGTTATACAGTATCTATACAAAGATTTGGCAGAAAGGTACAGCACTACATGCTGAGTTAATCAAACTCCATTTGTGCTGTTTCTCTTTTTAATTTATTTATAAGACAAAACACTATCTTATATAATGGTCAACAGCACGAACTACAAGAAACTTGATCGGACTGCTTCCATGGATTTTTTATTTTTTAAAATAAAAAACCCACTTTTTTTTCTGGATAAAAAAGATACGAACCCAAGTTATGATTGTGTACGTATATACATATATATATATATACACATATATGTATATACACACACGCACACACACTGTTAGGGAGAGTTTAGTAAGTCCATTCCTTTGGAAGAAAAATCTCTGGTGAAGTTGGAGAAGCAGCACAACATTTTGTCGATACATCCTTGTTGCAGCTTTTGTTTCTGCTAATTATCCTCGAAGTGCAATCTTCAACATCTTTGGAATTGTTTTTGGCGTCTGCAGATATTAAAATAATTAATCCCTTGATTTCTGAGTGGTCAAAAGTTAATTTTTTTTTATAATTCTGAAGCGATACTCAAAGTTAAATTAAGGAACTTGGTTAGAGTTAACCTCGCAAGCCTAACGCATGTACATTGAGGTTGAGAGCCTGAACAACACGAGAAGGAAGGAGAACAGGAGAGCAAGCTGCAAAGATACACAAGATACGCCCATGAATATACATAATTACATATATTTACTGTTGCTACATGTGATCAGTGTAAACCATACGTTGTGAAAAATCAATTCAACATTAAATTTCTGCTTGAATAGTGAAAGTGTGTAAAGAATTTTGTTGACAGAATATGTTTTGGAAAATTTCCAAACGATTTGTGCAATTTATTTGCCAACTTACATTTAACTGTTAAAAAGATAATATAGATTTTAGCAGAATGCAATTAAAATTAAATTGATAAGAATTTCAATATGCTGAGTCACTTCCCCATATATTTTGTATGATATTAATTTTTATTATGTCATAAAGTTAAAATACAACCATATTAAGAACAATTTTTTTTTAAAAAAAATCTCATTTTAAATTATATATAAATAGAATTGAAATAATACATTATAACTTTCTTTAATTTAAATGAAGCTTATAACATATTGTTCTTATTGCACATAAAAGTTTACGTGAAATCAATTTTTATCATTCTAATATAATTTATATAATCTACTAATCGAACTAAACACAAAATTACAAATGAATTTAGTAAATTTTTTAAATTTATTTCAAACATGTTAAATATTGTGATTTTGAGATTACTTACATAAAAGAATGCTGAATTTATTTCAAGCATACGAGAACTTGAACTTGTTTGAGAATATATAGTTATTAGCACGAACAAAAATTTCGTTATGATTTTATTGTAATGATTAAAGTAAAGTTAATTACCTGGTTTTCTGTTAGAATGGAACTTATTGGAGCCAGCTCTTTGAGGAAGAAAAACTCCAGTGCCAGTGTATGATTTTCGACCAGACTCTAGAAAGAAAGCCTGCATTCCATGTCCTCCAGACGCCCAGTTAATGGGATGCTTGGAGCTATGATGGCCCCTTGTGTTTGGTTTACCTACCTGATTATACTTGGTGAAAAAAGAAACAAACATAAATTTCTATAAGAAAACAATTAATTAATTTCTTAATAAGTGTTCCTATGATCTTCTTTCAGGTTAATTATTTGCCCTGCCAAAACAATTTAAATCTATAATTACCTGCATAAGCAAATCAACAGAAGTAGATATTAATTGTCCAATACTTAATAATGACATACATGAAATTATAGGACGAACTAGTTAATTTTACACATAAAATAACTTTTAAAAGCAAAATATGTACAATGGATGAACTAATCACTTACTCAATATTTTATCAAAAGAATTATATTTATATAAATAATTCTTGGATTAGATTTGATTGAAAAAGATTTTATTTTTATCCAAGTTCTATTTCGTAATCATTAATTTTTATTTTACTTGTCAACAAAAGTATCATAAAATAATTATTTTAAGCTAAACATAAAATCAATTTGAAATAAAAAGCTAATTTTTTATTCAAATTTCTATCCTATTAAATAGAATTGGAATCAACTAAACTAAACCCATCAAAATATTTCAAAAATCTCAATATCTGCAGTATTACTAGATCTAAGAAGGGTTTTTTTTTTTTTTTTCCTTCTATTTTGGTTCCAAAACTTCTCTTTGTCTGTACATGGTTGGCTTATGCATGGATGTAGGATGTAGAACTGCAGAACTCTATTGGCGTTAGGTTTTCCTTTTAGATTTTGAATTCAAATATATATATATATATATAAAAGAGGGTTTAAAAAGGAAATCTTGTAGAATCTTAATTAGCTGGTGAACTTTCAAATTAAAGAAGTTCAAAATTCAAAATGCCGAGTAATTATTCACAAGATGAAATGCTACTTAATGCATATATATATATATATATATGTTTGATCAGTTACAAAGTATATACAATCGCATTCAGAATTCGCTAAAGTCATCAATATAGTACTTAAAATAGCAATAGGATCACCAGCTTGGTTGTTTCAGATTTCAATTCTTCTTAACTAAATACATTATTTAGGTTGTTTAGATAACAATTAGCTTACACATTTAGCCAGATAGGGCTAAAAATGCATTGTAAAATATTTCAAAAATTATGATAAAACAGAAAATATTAATTACCACTTATAATAACTAATAATTTCTTTTGTTCTTATTCAAAAATCTATTGGCATTATTCAAATGCCTCAATTTTTTTACTAGAAAACACTATTATTTTTTCTACATCCCATTTTTGAATACTGATTCATTGCCTTGTTGCCTCCAAACCTTTAACAGATTGAACTACTAATTCCATAGTCTATTATGGCTCAACGACCGAACAATCCAACAAAGTCTTTGAAGTTAAATTTCTCGATTAACCAAAAAGGAAACTCCTAAGAAAATCAATATAAAATCATCCAAATTAAACAACTCAAAATACTTTCTATACTGATGCTATTACTAATTTTTCTTTCAAGAGAAAAAGAGGAAGCAAGAAGAAATATATATATATATATACCAACGGAGGAAGCTCAGCAGGCAGTTTGTGGCGATGCCGGAAGTGCTGGTGCGTATAATTAGGCAACTCCTGTAAGCGAAAGTGCCAGAAGAATTAGAAACAAATAGAAGATCATGCAAGAGAAAACGCATAGCTGAGTTCTAATATCTTTATGTATTGTTTACATTTATTTACATATGAACACAGACCTTTTTGGATCTAGTGCTACGATCGTCGTAAAGTGCTTCATCAAGAACATGAGATGGCAGCCATGAAATCACTTCTTCAAATCGGATATTTAACTCTCCATCTTCCACACCGGCCATCGAATATTATTAAAAACGAGAAAGATATGATCTCCTTTTTCTTGTTTTCCAGTTCTGCGTGGAGAAGAAAGGGAGCGCTGTGACCTCCAACTTCAAACCTGCAACGTAACTAAATAGTTATACCTGAAGACGTCGAGATGATTTTAAAAAAAATAAAAATAAAAATAACAAAAAAGGGACGAGATTCGGCGTGTGACGTGTTCTTTTTCTTTTCCACTTGCTATCCAGCGCGTGACCGAATTGTTTTCTCCTTACTCCGACTCGAACGACGTCGTTATACCCAGTCGTCATGTCCACGCATCGTCCGAGGATTTGTGAAATGGAATTCAAAATGAAAAAATTAATAAATCCAGAATTACCAATTTACACATGCGTTGCCACTTGAATTTACCAATCTATCCCTCGACCTCAAATGATAAACATGATGAACATTTTGAATTTTGAAAATTTTCTCGCGTTTTCTTTTTGTTTCCCGTGAAATTTCTTTTCCGCGTGTTTTTGTACTGTGTGGCACAAGAACATAAGATATCGCTAGTTATATTTTCTAAACACTGTTTTTTATCTTCAGCTGCTGTACGTATTTTGCAAAATGCATAATGTATATATTATACATATATACACGCTGTGGACAAGAGGGAGGCATCAGTCATTTCGAACTTGAAAATCAAGAATGCTTATTTGACAGTTTAGAAGAAAACCCAGGGTCAAACAAGTAATCTCAAGACACATGAAGATCCTGAACCTGAAAATGGGTTGGGTTGGGTTGGGTAAACCTCTTTTATCTGTTGGTGGTTGCAGTTAATTCTTCTTCACGTAAGACGCTGCTGCTCCACAGAAGTACAACCTGTTCCTTTTGAAAAAGCAACAAGTCCATTCATTTTCCACTTTCCTCTTCCAAAAAATTATGTCTTTCTGGTTTCAGATTTTGTTTGTTCTGACTGAAAAAATTTGTTTATTCTTGGTCATCAGTCTACATGGATAGGGTAGGATGTATATGAAAACTTAAACTCCTTTATAATAATACGCCATGCGAGATGATGCAGAATTTGGCACGCCTATACCACTGCCATAACTCTTCTAAACCACACCAACCACCCCCGACATTTTTCAGAAGCTTGGTTTAGGTCACTGGGTCCCTCAAGCTTGTTCTTTTGGAGAGATTCAAGGCAATAAAATCTGAGTTCTGAATTGGTAAACTACCACTGATCGTGCTCCTTTGTGTATGCAACAGGAGGCTTACTACGTGTCTATAGTAGATGGGATTTGTTCAAGAACGAAATGGATGTTTTTGAGCTAACAATGCAAATTTCACACAAGGATATAACTAAGCAAGAATCTAACCAGCAGTCAACCTTAATAGGTTGGAGATGGCTCATCAAGTCAAAACAAAGAAAGAATAAAATTTTTTTAACCAAATTTAATCTAAGATACCATGTAAGTATACTTAGCATCATTCATTTTGCAGAAGAATGACTTCATGTTCTTCGAGATTCAACAGACAAAACTGATAAGAGAGAAATAAGCAACTTTACTTCTTTGAGGAGCCCTTTTCTTCGTCTTCTTCATGCCCAAGTTGGACGAGGCTGGGAAGCTGTTTTAGCCTTCTTCAGCTCAAGAAAGACTTTTTTCTGCAGCTTCCATATGATTTTGCACGGTACAGATTGTTAACCATAAGTTGTACGTAACAGTATCTGGATAAATGTTTCTCTTTAATTCCTGAATTACTCCTTTCTACCTTCTCTAGTTGACCTTTTGAAATGGACAGTAATAGCGTATGGTTTATTGCAGGGGACATTTCAGGAAAGCACACCATGATATTATCTCCATAAGAGCCTCAGCTTTGGTAGACAATTTGCTCGTATGATGAAGAGCTAAACAAGGGGAGTGCACCTCTCATTCAATCAGGGGGATCTTCGAAAAACTTTTCTGCAGTGCTCAAACTGCAGACTTTTGCAATCAAGTCCCAGTAGACAACATAATCGCCAGGTAGAAGCTTTATATCTTGCCGAAGTGTCATCCACTCTTGCATCTGCACGTATAACAAGATTGATTTGCAAAGCATAAGACAAAGTACAAAAACAAAAACTTCTCATCAGCTCCGAACCCAGCACAAAGATTGAAAAATCATTAGACCAAGATAGTTGTTGGAGATGAAAATCATCTAGTACTGTTCAATTGACAAGGAGAAATGTTGTAATTTCAACATGCAACAAAGAAATTCTGCAATCATGACTGTTCACAACACCAAACCAATACTAACGTGAGGAACCAGAGATCAAGCGACCACAGAAAGAGACAGTGAAGACATTTGAAATCTTAAAATATATTCCAGTACAAGAGAGGAAACAACTTATGCTGCCTTTCTAGCTGCATGTATTAGATAATCAGGAAAATAAAAAGACTATGAAGTTATATTATATTTCCCAGCACCGAGCAAAGAGGCATTACATATTTCAAAAATTTAATCCACAGTTTAATTCTTTCTTAGTACAGACAGTACCTGCGCCTTCCAATGTGTTGTGCATTATTTTCAGAAAAAGTTAATGCTTTATTGTAACAGACACTGCTTACAATTTGATCTATTATCATGCTTTTATACAAAGCGGCAAATACAGTGATTGAACTTTAACACATCCTAGAGCAAACTACTGGGAGAAATATGCCCTGAAATGCTTATTTCCTAGGACCTCTAAGTAAGAAAATATGCACAATGTATGACCAATACAGGGGATCTTCCCCCCAATGCACTGCATTCATAACTACAAGAACAGTGTTTGAAAGGTTCCCTCCACAGGCTACCACATCTGTGAATATTTCATTCTCACCACATACTATTTATAAGTATGAGGCTGATCTTCGCAGCTCCATGTCGACTTTCTACTGGGAGAATAAGGTCAGCATTTACTTGAAGTCTGGCATTTGAAATAATGTAATTGCTCCAGTCAAATTCCTCACCTTCTTCAAAATTCTATAAACTAGAACTTTAATCTGAAGCAATCCAAGAGCATACCAGAGACAAAACCAAAAGGCAAAAGAATTAATTATCATTAATAATCTAATTACATGAGCAAGAAGATTGCACCAATGGTTGACTCCTTACAGAATCTACGAAGTTTCATTAAAACATCCACAAGCATATCGGACTCTATATGTCAGTTTTTTTTCTAACGTGTGGGTTTAATGTGGAGTTTGGTATGCGTATCATGCTGACAATTTAATGAGATCGTTAAAAAATGATCAAATATGGTTAAACAATATTAGATCTTAATGCATCGGGTTTAAGTATGAGTTTATAATGTGCATATACTATTTTTTGCAATATTTTTATTTTATAATGGGCGAAATGATAATTGCAAAAATTAGTCGATATAAAGTGGTTATGGTCTGCGAATCATAAGGTTGTCATTTTATTTTTCTAAAATTCCGTCACCAGAAAAAACTAATTTCAAAGTGTCGTGTCGATTCGGAAGATCCTACCACCGGATACGAATAAATCTTCTGCGATGGATTTAGGTACGCTTCCGCTTATATTTCTCTTTAATTTAGTATGATAATATATGTTTAATTTTTATAGATTTACGGACTTAAAAAGAAATTTTATTCTAACAATTGGTATCAGAGTCATTTCTAGTATTAAACTTTTGGGGAAAAAAAAAATTTGTTATGTAATTTTGGATTCATATTCAGAATTTTAGATTTTAAATTCTATTTTTGTTTAGTTGAATATATATATCTATATGCATAAATATATATATGTATATGTATAAGTATTAGGAATATATATCTATATATCAATATCAAAAAAATATATACATACAGAAAATTAAAAAATATATATATGTATATATATCAAGAAGTTAAGTATTATATATGTATATGTATATTAAGGATATATGTATATATATATATAGCAGAAAAACAAAAAGGAATAGCAATGGCCAATCGTCACTGCATGTGAAAGAAAGTCCGACGGTTACGCACTGTCTAGGGTCATTTGCTTGATTTTTAGAGAAATATGGTATCGTCCCACAATACACTATGTCAGGTTCTCCTAACATGAATGATGTTGTTGAAAGGCAAAACAGAACACTTAAGAATATGGTAAGGAGTATGATTAATCATTTTACCTTACCTGAATCACTATGGGGAGAAGCATTAAAGACTACAATATATTTATTCAACAGAGTTCCAACTAAAGCAACTATAAAGACCCCTTATGAGATTTGGACGAGCAAGAAGCCTAATTTTAGACATTTGCACATTTGGAGATATCTAGTTGGGGTTAGACTTTATAGGCCACAGAAAAAGAAACTAAACTTCAGAACTGTTAGTTGCTAGTTTATTAGTTATTCTGAGTGATGCAGGGATTACAAGTTTTATGATCTCACTACTAAGATAATTTTTGAGACAATAAATGTCAAGTTCTTTGAAAATGTTGAGTTTGCGGGAACAAAGAGTTCGCGACCTTATTTTTGAAGAAGAATGGATTAATATTCCTATTCCCTGCTCATGACAATGATCAGGATCAAGTTCTTATACTTAGCATTATTCAAGAAGCAATTCTAGATCAAGACAATGTCATAGTATATCTCGTTCTTGTTTAGAAAATCGTTCCTATAGCACAAACTTCACTCCCTCAAGAATTTATGTCATTAAGGAGATCAACTAAAGAGAGGAAAAGTGTAATACCATATGATTATATTATACATCTCCAAAAATATGACTTTGATATTGACACGATGAAAAATGATCCTATTAACTTTCGTCAAGTCATGAAAAGTTCTAACTTTCACAAGTGGATTGATGCCATGAATGAAGAGATGAAGTCCATGAAGGACAATGACGTTTGAGATCTTATTCCATTGCCTAACGATGCAAAATCTATTAGTTCCAAATAGATATTTAAAACCAAGAGAGATTCAAAAGTTAATGTAGAGAGTACAAGGCTCGTCTTGTCGCTAAGGGCTTTATACAAAAAGAAGTCATCGATTATAAAAAGACTTTCTCTCCGGTTTCGTTGAAAGACTCTTTCAAGACTATAATAACTTTAGTGACATATTTTGATCTTGAATTACATCATATGGATGTTAAGACAGTATTTCTTAATGGAGACATTAATGAGACAATTTATAGGGTACAACCAGAAAACTTTATATCCGAAAATACATAGCAAATGGTTTGCAAACTAAAAATATCCATCTATGTACTTAAACAGGCTTCCCTTCAATGGTACCACAAATTTTATCAAATCGTCATCTTGTTTAATTTTGAAATAAATTTAGTGAAAGATTGTGTAGACCACAAGTTTCGTGGAAGTAAATATATTTTTCTGATTTTATATGTCAATGACATATTGCTTACCAGTAGTGACATAGACTTATTGTACGAAATCAAGAGATTTCTAACAAAGAAATTTGAGATGAAAGATCTTGAGAACACATCTTTTGTATTATGGATCCAGATACACTGGGATCGCTCTCAGGGTATTCTTATATTATCATAAAAGAACTATATCGAAAAGGTTCTTAAAAAGTTTGACATGCAGAATTGTAACCAAGTGACTTCTCTGTGTATAAAGGAGACAAATTTATTCTAAAATAAATACCCCATGAATAATTTAGAGACTATAGAGATGCAAAGGATTCCTTATGCTTTTGCCGTAAAGAGTCTTATATATGCACAAGTTTGTACGCATCCAGATATTGTGTATATTATTGAGATATTAGGTAGATATTTAAGCAATTTAGGTATGTATAATTGGAAAGCATCCAAACGTGTTATATGGTATCTATAGAGAACAAAATGTTATATACTCATATACAGGACATCAGATCAGTTGGAGATCATTAGTTATTCTGATTCTGATTTTGACTGATGTCAAGACAACAAAAAATTTACATCAGGCTATATTTACTTGTTTGCTGGTGGAACTATTTTCTAAAAGAGTGTTAAACAAATACTTATAGCCTTTTTTACTATGGCAGCAGAGTTTGTAACTTATTATGAGGTATCCAAACATGGAATATGGCTATAAAATTTTATCATTGGGCTGCATATTGTTGATGGCATAGAAAGACTATTAAATTATTTTGTGATAATAAATATGCGGTTATGTATTTCAATAACAACAGGAGTTCGACGAAGTCAAAGCATATAAATATTAAGTTCTTTGTTGTTAAAAAAAGAGTTCGGAGTAAGCAGATACTGATAGAGCACATTGGAATAAGCTTCATAATTGTGGATCTGCTCGCTAAGGGATTACCACCTAAGGTTTTTCATGAGCACCCTGCTCATATCACTAGATGATGTGTAGTTTTAGTGAGAGTTTTGTACTATAGTTGCATTTATTTTATAAGACATATCATAAATTATGTATTTTGATTTGATTTATGTATATATGGTTTTATTTCAGTTTTTTACGTTTATATTTTTATAAATTATTATCTCTGAATTTTCTTATAGTTGATCTCACTAAGATTAAGACATGACTAATTGAAAATAAGCATGCTTAGATCATATAACATGTAATTTTCATGCTGCACATTCATACTTGATCCATGTCGTTCGGTTATACTGATGTACGTGACCATTGATGGGTTAGCTACATTAGCTGCAGCGAAGGCTGCTTTGATTCTATATCTTTATGATCGATGGATGATATAATTTAGTGATGCATTTAGGTATTGATAGCATAGTTCTAAGTACTCCTACATCAATTTAACGCATAGTTAAGGTGTTATATAAAGGTCAAATGTGAGATTGTTCAATTTAATGTGGACCTTGGTATACATATCAAATTATCAATTTAATAGACTTGTTTAAAAGTGATCAAATATGGTTAAACAATATTGAGTCTTAATGTATCGGATTTAAGTATGACCTTGTAATGTACAGATACCATTTTTGTAATATTATCATTTTATGATGTGCAAAATAGAAATTATAAAAGTTAATCAATATAAAAGGTAGTTATCGTCACCAAATCACAAAATTGTCATCTTATTTTTCTAAAATCCCGTATTAGAAAAAACTAGTTTCAAGGCACCGTGTTGATTCTGAAGATCCTACCGCCGGACGCGAACAAATCTTTTGTGATAGATTCAGGTACGCTTTCATTTATATTTCTCTTTAATTCAGTATGAGTATGTATGTTTGATTTTTACTAATCTATGAATTTGAAACGAATTTTTATTCTAACAAGTCTACCGTAAAACATGCAGCAAGCTCAAACTTTTGATATTGTAAGCAAATATATCTACAAAAATGTCGAGGAATATAAATTAAAAAAAAAGAAAGAAAAAGTCAATTCCTTTCTTTTTCATGATTAAATTATAAAGTAGTTGAAAATGTGACGAGTTGCTGAAGAAAACTGAGACCTAGAGTGCGTGCTATAGCGCTTGAGCTTACCAAAGCCCCCTTGAGATCCAATTGAGCTCGTACTTGCACACCGTGTGGCCCTCCTCCTTCCATTTCCGTATAACAACCTCTGGACTTCGTTTCGAGTATATCAGGCTCAACAACGACCGCCACAGTGTCTCTCGATTTTTACAATAGAGTTAGCTCCCACACCTTTTAGTATCGCTTCTCTTGCCTCACCATCCACTGTTTTCCTCGACCAAAGGTGTGTCAGGGACCTGGCGGTTGTCTAAACTGATCGGAGCAACATCTTCGCTTCTGCACTGAGTTCGGGCAGGTATTCGTTAAAAAGGCGCTTCACTAAAAAAATGTTAAGACAACATTTTTTTTTTGCGTTTAGTATTGATACTATATTAATTATATATAGTACATATTTTAGCATTTAATATTAATATTTTTATTTATTTTTGATCATTTTTTGTAATTTTCAATTTAAAAGAATATATATGTATATTTAATTTATAAATAATTATAAAAATATAGTTTTGAAATGTATTTATTATACATATATTTTCTTAAAATATATTTTTGATCAGTTGAATTATGGATTCTTTAAACTGTATGTGATTATAATTAAATTACAAGACAAATTATGGTTAAAATATATGATTGGTATTCAAATAATACATGTTGTATTAATTATCCTAATTTTTAAAAGTTAAAAAATACATTATACCGAATATAATTATATTAATTACATACGTAATAATTATAATATCATTATGTTTCAAATTTGTATAAATAATTAAAAAAATTTGACTTCCCATGCCATACAAAATAAAGAAGCCTGAACCTCTTGCGGTTTCTCTAATCAACGGAAAACCAATATCTCTGTCCGTCTCCGTTCACGGTTTCAATGCCAGGTGGTTTGAACGGAAAAAAGTCTGCCTATGGCGGCCGTACCAGCGTGAGAGTCGTGGTCGTCGGTGACAAAGGAACCGGAAAATCTAGCTTGATTGCAGCGACCGCCTCTGAGACCTTTCCCGATAATGTTCCGCGCCTCCTTCCTCCTACTCATCTCCCCGACTATTTCTACCCGGATCTCGTTCCCGTCACGGTCATCGATACTTCTTCCAGGTATATCAATGATCCATTTACATACGCGCACATAAACGGGTGTATGTATTTGTATCTACGTATGTGCCTATGCAGACGTCTTGCTTTCTATTTCGCTGAGGTGAAAGAAAATAAGGGTGCTGAGGTTATATTGCTTTATGGTTTACTGACTATTAGGAGCAGATTTTGTTGAAGTTGGTTAGTTCATGCAATTACTAAAGATTAGGCTCAAGTTATTGACGTGAAATCCGTTTTGAGTGGCCAGCGAAATCTGTGACTGAAATTTTCGGACATTAATTGTTTGAACACAGAGATTTATGAATGTATTGTTTTCTTCTTCTTTTTGTTTCGTAGAGTCATAAAGTTTTGCGTTTGAAATGTCTTTATCTTTCCTGATGTTGATTCATTTACTCACAACATAATTTGTTTTACAGATAAATTGGAGGTCTTTCTGTTGTAGTTAGCTTTTATCTTAAAAAGCTAAATTTCATTTATTTTCTGTTTGTTTCGTTTTCCCTTTTGTAAATGACGCCATAAATTGCTGTAATATTGGCCTTTAGCATGGAAAATAGAGGAAAGCTCATTGAGGAGCTCAGGCGAGCTGATGCTGTGGTCCTGACATATGCCTGTGACCAGCCTATAACACTTACTCGTCTGACTTCCTATTGGCTTCCTGAGCTCCGTCGGTTAGAGGTTAGAACTGTGTGCTCTGTTTATATAAGATGTTTGTTACTTCACCCTTGAAGTGATGCAATTTTTTCTTTTCATGGTGAGCAAATAGGTAAAGGTGCCAGTGATCGTGGTTGGATGCAAGCTAGATTTGAGAGACGAGCGCCACCCGGTTAGCCTGGAGCAGGTCATGGCACCAGTTATGCAGGAATTCAGGGAGACTGAGACTTGTATAGAATGTTCTGCAGCTACCCTAATTCAGGTTCGATTAATGTGAATATAGTTCTAGCTTTGTTCTGCAGATGCCTTGTCAGGTTTTCCTTATTAGATTTTTACAGTCATACATATTTTTCTCAGTTATAATAGTGGGACCTTCCTTCACAAACCACATAACCGTTTCCTTCTTGATATGCTTCAATGCAAATATGAAAGAAAGAATGTTATCTTAGCAGAAGAAGAGTAAGATAAAACCTTCCATTGTTCATAGTCAAAGAGGAAAAGAAAGAAAATGCTAGAAAAGGCAAAGCCCAGAATACTAACAAAAGGCATTAAGAAAAGAGAGCGTGTTTGGAAGCACTGATGGAGATTGTGACTTCTTTTTCTCCTGGATGATATAGAGATTGTAGAGTTGGAATTTAGCATCTCTGTATTGATGGAACTGATTTAGTAAAGCTTTTTTGTCATGACGTTGTTCAAATATTTTAGAAACTATATTTTCTTTGTATCTTCAGTGTCTGGGTTAACTGCATAAGTAGTTCTTAATAGTAAATTTTCAGTTTACTCTTCAATGCTCTGGTGAAAGAAGGGATCTCTTCACATATGACAACTAATTGAATTCAGTACTTCAGGTTATGGTGTCTTTCAAGGTGAACTGGGATGCCTGGCACACAGGCAATAGCTGATGGCACATAATTCTTGCTGTAATTAACATATAATAATGAGGATATATATGTAATTTAAGTTGAGATAGAACTCTAGACTGGTGATGATGTCTGTCAAGGCGAACTGAGATGCCCAACACAGAGATGATAGCTGATGGCACGTAAGTTGGTGGTCTGACTAACAAATAATACAGGGATGTAAATGTGTTTTAAGTGAGATGTATTAGAACTTTGTTGAGTCTAAATATGAGTAGCTAGAAAAAAAAAAAAATTCTTTATAAGTGAAAGAAATAGTTTGAATTTTGATTTTGGGGTTCAAGTTCATTAAACTTCATCATAGACTAAAAGACAAAAATTTATCATGGACTGATAGGAGGCAAGATTGTTTAGGTAGTCACTTGTCATTCATAGACAATCAAATTCCTAATGAAGGTCTGGTCAACTCAAAGACTGAATTATATTACTTGTCATTTGCAAGTGATTTCATGGTTGCAATCATATTTTAATTTTATTTGTAGGTCCCCGATGTTTTCTTTTATGCTCAAAGAGCGGTACTTCATCCAACAGCTCCATTGTTTGATCAAGAAAAACAATGCCTGAAGCCCCGATGTCGCAGGGCACTGCAAAGGATATTTACCCTTTGTGATCATGACATGGACGGTGCTCTCAATGATGCAGAGTTGAATGAATTTCAGGTTTTCTTTTTGTTTCATTTAAATTTTTTATCCATTTCAGCCTTTTGTCCCTATAGACATACTGACATGTTGAATGATGGTAAACAGGTTAAATGTTTTCATACTCATTTGCAACCTGCTGAAATTGTGGGTGTTAAGAGGGTTGTACAAGAAAGGGAACAAAATGGAGTCAATGACTTTGGTCTTACCCTTGCAGGATTCCTTGTTCTTCATACTCTTTTCATAGAAAAAGGGCGTCCTGAAACAGCTTGGGCTGTCCTAAGAGAATTTGGATACAATGATGATTTAGAACTCAGACATGATTTCCTTCCCATTCCAACAAAGCGTGCTCCAGATCAGGTATCTCTCATTTACATAATATTTATATAGTAACGAAATGTAAGAGGCCATACAATTCGCACAAGTACTAGGTTCTAAGATCATTAATTTCTATCTCAATTTTCAATGCTGGCTAGAAGTTGGTCAACTTAAATGATTTATTTAATTTGAGATTTTTCCGTAAAAAAAAAATGAATAATGCATCTGTTGAAGTTCTTTCTTGATGTCATTCACAAGTATCATACTTGATGGATGATAATGTGTATTTGGTTTAGCTTTCTTCTGGTTAGTTTGACCAGAAAAGGTTAGATGAGTGTTTGGTTTCATGTATTTAACTGATAAGTTTGTACATATAAGTTAAAAAGAAGAACCTAGTTCACTTTCTCGTTTGTGTTTTTAACCATAATAACCATCTGGATATCACCAAATTCATATCCTAATGTTTTTGCTAATTGTTTAAATCATTTTTTAACTTATGTGGAGCTTAAGCTACATAAAAGTTCACTTAACTAAACACATTTAAATTAACTTATCAAGACTTATAAGCTCTATGTAGTTATAAGTTGCCAAATCAAATGGCCCCATATCCTTAGGAGCATTCTATAGCATGGCTACTTTTTGCTGAAAGTTTTGCCTTGTTTCCGCTATCCAGTTTCTGATAGGCACCCGATCCTCTTAAATTAATTGATTCATTATACTTTTTATATGGTTATTCAGTATGTCAACCACAATAGAAACTTTTTTTTTCTTTTTTGTCTTTTCTTATTTCTGCTTGGATATGACATGGTTTTAGATGCTGTCTTCCAGACTGTGGAGCTGACAAATGTGGCTATAGAATATCTTCGTGGGGTCTTCCGATTGTATGACATTGATAATGTATGTACATAAATATGTCTGAGTTTCATGATTTCATGCCTTTGTGTGTGTTTAGTTTGGCTATTTTCCTACAATGGCAAGAAACAAGAGGTAGCGCTCATAATGCTTTGACTTGGTTCACCAGGATGGATCCCTACGACCTTCCGAGCTTGATGACCTATTTCAAACTGCTCCTGAAAGGTAATCCATTAATAACATATATATAAAAATATAGATGTACATATATGTTTTATTTTTAGTCCATTAAATTGTTTCAATGTTCTTCATTATTATTCTTACTAATGGAACTAGTTATGGTACAATTAACATGAAATGTGCAGAAATTTGTAAGTGTTTTTGAGTTTTTCTACCTTGTTTTGGAGTAAATTAGGATTCGTTGAGATAGAAACCCTCTGATCTTTTGAGTAAATAAATACTCAACACTTTTAATAATTTTCTTCCATACTTTTTGAAGATTAGGACACCGACAATTTCTGTTCTTGGCAGAAATCAGCAACTGACAGAACTGTCCCTAGAAATTGCTGAAAATAGCCTACAGAAATTCCTATGTTGCTAAAGAATAACTGCTACAACTGCTTAATCTTATCTTCTTAGACTTGGCCAACTTTCACGACGACTTGACAAACGACAGAATTTATTCCATACATACTGTCCATGCACAAACATATAAAGAACCCCATAAAAACATATGAAAGAACGCAAGTACCTAAACTAGAAATAAGTAATTTGAAATACTATAATGGCAATATTGATAATATAATATAATTATAACTATTATTTTGTAAACGGGTAGCACTCCCTTGGTGCCTATACTTAATGATACTTTATTTTTTTATATTAAAAAAAATAACTATAACTATTATTATTATCTATCATTTTGGTGCTTAGGTTCCCTAACAGTTTCACTTTCACTTTGGCTTGTTAAGATGCATTCTTTTTTATTTATGTTGAACTTATAGTGGACCAAAAAGAATGGACCGATCTACAATGTGGGCAGTTGCCCCCGTAGCACTAGCAGTCGAAGAAAATATCCAAATACTAATTAATAAAAGAGATAGATGAATGTGTAAAAATACTACTTAAGTATAACTTAGTGGTACATGTTTCTTTATCTCAATTAAATAATCAAATTTTCTATTTCTTTTTTTATGAAGTTCGTTTTTCTTACAACTAAAAACTCTTCATATTTTTTAGCGTATATTTTTTATAAACGAGTAGCAAACTCTCTGGAGAGTGGTAGGTACTTTTGTTGTTGCAAACTGTAGTGTGGTCTGCATCTAGTGGACTAAACTTCGATTTTAATGAAAGATTTGATGGATGCATTCAATGGATGCAGAATGGTTTATATTGTGGGTAGTGCTGCTGAGGGGGTGGGGATGTATTAAGGAGAGTATGATACAATCATTGTTTAATTTTCTATGGTTAAAACGAAAAGAACTCTGTTCATTTTTGTCACTGTTATTATTATTTTCAATTCCTCCAAGTAGCATTATCAAATATTTTGTTAGCTGATGTTAATCCTAATTAGTGTCCTGATGTTATGATTTTGTAATTTTTGGTATTTTTTCATTTATAAGATTCTTATAGACCTTATTCTTTTTGTTTTTTGGATTCAGTCCTTGGGGCAATGATCCTTACAAGGATGCTGTGGAAAGAACACCAGTGGGAAATTTTGGTTTTAAAGGGTTTCTATCTGAGGTTTGTATACTTGTTGCCACTCCATATGTTCTTGTGTTTCCTGTGGGTGGACAATTTTTGACTTCTCTCTCCATTGCATGTTTATTTCATTCTACATAAATAAATTGCAGCAAGCTTCCCCTGAGCACCCATGCTCTTCTACATATGTTTGATGTCTTATATCAAGTTCCTTTAGTCGCTTTGCAGCAAAGTGTTTTGCTATTGTTACTGATAAATTGAAGCCAAACTCATGTCCTTCTCTCCCTGCGTTGAAGTCAGTGCTCCATTAAGGAAGATGTTTTTAGTTAATAGTTCCGTACTCGTGTCCTTCTCTCCCTGTGGTGGAGTTAGGGCTCCATTGAGGAAGAGAACCCTTGTTTTTCTCACGAATAATCTGAGTTTAGTGCTTAATAGTTCAGATGGTTTTTAATCATAGAGTGAGTATGTATATATAGAAGCTTATGACAACTAATACCCTAGTTAATTACAATCAGTATTTAGATCTTTAACTACATAAATTTAATTACTAAATCTAATCCAAGGCCTAGTCTTCTTTGTAAAGAAGAAGTCCATCTGAACATAGAGATAAAATTGAAGATTAGAAGGGACTCATGCTGCATTAGAAGTCTTCCTCTTCTTGGCTCAGGTCCTGAGCTTGTACACCTTACCAGCAAACCAGATATGTTTATCCATAACAGTAACATTTAATTGTTTAGTGATAGTTGTTTGTCACTGTAATTCTCTTGATAATTTCAGCATCTGAAATTTTTTATCATTAATAATCAAATATAAGAGCTTTTGCATTTCATGTGGACAACAGTTCATATGATGAAAAATTTATGAAGGACTTTTCACTTAAAATTGCAATTTTAGTAAAATTATCCCCACAACAATTTTAATTAGTAATAACACAAACATCAGTTTTACCAAGTGGCATTAAATCAAATGATTATATCATTCTTTCAGTGTGCCTTTTTCTTTCCCTCTCCTTGAGCTTTTTGTTTGTGGGGGTTTTGTAGTAACTTCTTTGCATATCTGAAAATATGGGAGAACCTTAAACTCTCCATTTTTTTCCAATTTCTTGAACTGCCATGTTCATCCTTTAGGAGCCATTTTGTAACTCTGTTAAACGTGTTGCTGCAGTGGGCTTTAATGACTGCAATAGATCCTGCACATAGTTTAGCAAATTTGATATATATTGGATATGGGCGGGATCCATCTTCAGCACTCTCTGTTACTAGGAGGAGATCAGTAGACCGCAAGAAGCAAAGAACAGAAAGAAATGTTTTCCAATGCTTTGTTTTTGGTCCTAAAAAATCTGGAAAATCTGCCCTTCTGGATTCATTTCTAGGAAGGTGTTAACTCTAAACCAGTTACCATTTTATTTGGTTGCTGCTTGGCTTTTCTTATATCAGTTTTTCTGATTCCAGCTGCTTTTAATCTCTGGCACTCAGAAGTAGCATCTGTCCTTTTTTCCTCCTTGTAAGCTTTGTGACAGTTTTTAATTTGTAACTTCAAACTTCAGGAAATTCTCAGATGATTACATCCCAACAACTGAGGAGCGGTATGCAGCAAATGTCGTTGAGCAACTTGGGGTGAGTAATAAGAGTAGAAAGATGATGTGTTTTTCTATTAAAAGGAAACAGTAGAAAGACATTGTGTTGGATCCTCTCTCCTACCGCCTCATCTTTTCAATTTTTTGTAAGAAGTCAAATAGATGTCTTGTTGAAAGCCAATGAAAACCCCATGTTGTATGCATTACTTTTAATAATCTGTTCTGATAAGCGGTGCTGATTCTTTTGTTTACAGGGTGTTAAAAAGACCCTTATTTTGCGAGAAATACCAGAAGAGATAGTTAAAAAGCTTTTATCAAATAAGGAATCTTTGGCAGCTTGTAATGTGGCTGTATTTGTTTATGACAGGTTAGTTTAACACTGCTTTATTTATCTAATTGGTGCATGGTATAACACCCATGATAATTTCGTCTCTTATACTTCATTCTGTTTACCCAGTGCCTCTTATTTTTCATTATCATCTCAACTTTGTTAACAAGCATTTTAGTATGTATAATCTTTTCTGAACTCAAGTGCAATTGCTGCATCTTTCTTACCTCCCTGATGCAAGCACGCATCTGCACAACTACTTTCAGTTGCCATTTTGTCAATCTATTACAAGCTTCTTTTACCCTTTGTTTTTTACTAGTACTATGAGAAGAGTCTCTTTTTTGCGATAACTGTGCCATATGTTGATACCTTGTAATGATTTTTTCTGTTTCCAGTTCAGATGAATATTCATGGAAAAGGGCAAGAGAATTGTTAATGGAGGTAGCAAGGAGAGGAGAAGAAACTGGTTATGGGATGCCTTGTCTCCTTGTTGCAGCCAAAGATGATCTGGATCCATATCCTATGGCAGTACAAGATTCAGATAGAGTAAGCATAATGCACCTCCTAATTGGTTACGTCCTCTACATAGAACACACTTACGGGCTGTGATATCTAGTATATTTACAGAAAATTGAAAATCTTGCTGTAAAATCAGTACATAGGCAGAAAATAGTGACAAAATGGTTCCTTTTGTTAGGTTTGTCAGCAGTTGGGAATGGAGATCCCTATTTCCTTAAGCATGAAGTTCAGGGATCCAAACAATGTATTCTGTAGAATTATAAGCACAGCTGAACGGCCTCATTTGAGCATTCCTGAGACCGAGGCTGGAAGGAATAGAAAGTACTACCGTCAGCTTGTCAGTAGCTCGCTTATTTTTGTTTCAGGTCTGACATTCTGACTTTATATGTTCAATCCTATCCCAAGTTCACATCCTTGCTTATATGAACTAATCTGCGGGTACATTTTATTGACTGAGGGTTAGGTTTGATTGCAGTTGCTGCAGCAGTTGGTGTTACCGGATTGGCAGCATATCGTACTTATACTGCTAAGAAGAATGCCTAAACTGCTACTACTTGATGCATCTGCTTCTAAATGATTATCTTTCTCAAAGTTAATATGATTTGAAGCCCTTCACTCTTCAGGGCATGCTAAAATAATGCAGGCTGTACATAATGCAACTTGCCTTATGCGCAAGAGAATCGCAATCCTCCCTTGTTTGATTCTTCTTCTTTTCTCTTTAAAATTATGTAAATTATGTCTGAGTTGTATAATTCTTCTTTGAAAATTTTAAAATGTTATATTTAGTTGTATTTGATTATTTTATAATCACACACTTTTTACGTGTCTCGTGATTTTTTTTTTATAAATGTTTCACGAAAAATTGTCCAGCATACTAAAGAAATGTACACTTTGAAAAAAAGAAAATATAAAATGTAAATACTTCCTCCAACAAAATCTTGGCTTGGGAAGTATCCACGGCACTGTAGAACCAAAGGCTATACAAGTTTCAGCTATTGTACTGGGTTGAGCACAAATACTCCTGGTGATCATTTATACTAGCAGACTGTAATAAATAGTTATACCAGTTATCTGATTGTTTAAAATCTGACCTAACATTGTGAAAAACTATACTTCAAGGACAAGTAAACTACAATTAGAAATCATCAACAGGAATGGTTAAACCAGAAAGGTAAAAGAAGAAGGAAGAAAGAATGCAGGGACAAGTAAACTATATTTGAAATCATGAACATTCATGGTTAAATCGAAAAGAAAAAAGAAGACAATTATACGTTACCTCTCTTTTCATCGAAATTGAGTAAATCACAAAAACTTTATAATTACAGAATCTTATAAAAACAGAACAGAAATCTTGAATCAAGAAACAGAAAGTGTTTGTCTGTGAATCCAAAACTGTGTTTTGTTGTGTTATTTGTGGGAAAGAGGTAAGATTTTTACCAAGCAATCAAGTTTGGAATGGACCATTTTGCATCAACTCCTACCCATGAGTACTTGCCTTGCGTTAAAACCAAAACCCAAAGAGTAAAATAATATAGGCACACAATAAAATGAATGTAAGCATAGGCTTCCCCTTTTTCTACACTTCTAAAAATATTGGAACTAACAAGCATCTTGGCATCTATTAAAAACCCATGAATGAACCCACCAGACCTGAAACAAACTTGAATCTAGCTTCCGTAAAGCCAAAGAAACTGTAGAGACCTCGGCAATGTTTGAGAAAGTATCAAAGATAAATCCCATAGCAGCTTAGAGAAACCAAAGCTCATTAACCTCCAAAGCCAAGTGAACATAACAGCCAGGAATTTTATCAAGCACTTTATCTACACACTTGCAATGCATTCAGACATTTAGCCATCATATCTGTATGCATATATATATATATATATATATATTGTAATGACCATAAACTTCTTTAACACAAATAAAATGAAACATGAATCACAGGCCTCTCTAAGCAGAAACTAGGCACGAAGGAACAAGAATGAAGACAAGCTCAAAAGAAGAAAACAAACAAAACAAAGCAAAACAAAACAAGACAAGGAGCACAAGGTTTCTGCCGCTTTTAGGCTCTTTTTCTTGCGGTGCGAGCTTAATTTATGATATGATACATTACTAGGGAGCATCAGAATATGATGCATCAATAATGTCGAACAATAAGATTGTTCTCTACAAAAAGTATAGTCCATGCATAAGATTCCAAAAGAAAAGGGAAAACTATTGATCTCAGCCTATATATTTTATAAATGAATATACCTTCATTAGTACTATATATGTACGTATGTGTGTGTTAGTACCTGAGTGTTGTGATATGTAGGCCGGCAAACAGGCAATTTCACGTTTGAAAGTCCTCCATTGTTAGACCACCAGGCAGCATATTGGCCGCTGGTTACTTCTCCCAAGCTACCATAGAAGATACATGAGGTTAGAGGGTTAAGAGGATTTCGGGTTCAACTCTGCGTAAAACTTATAAACTTTCTGACAAGATATAACCTGTTATAGTTTTAAATAAGGCATATTCTTGAGGATTACTCTCTATCATGAGCTATGCATTGAATTACCAAGGATTGCTCTTGTGATTCTTGTAAATAATAAAAAAAAAATATATTCTTGAAGCATTTATAGTATGCTCTTGTGATTCTTTTAAAGAGGAACGTGCTCTCGGTGGCAGACAAAGATCAATGGCTCTTATGCCTCTGGTCTGAGAGTGGATTATATTTAGCAGTTCTATCGAACTTAATTTCAAATTCTTAAAGATCATAGATTTAAATCGGACTAATATGCGTATTACTTAATTAACAAATACACAAACTTATGCAAGAAAAATTTCATTCTCTAGTACAAAACTTGTAGGGTTTAAATTTGACAAGCTACCAACATGGGAGTCATTTGTAAACGCTTTCGACTTTTTTCTATTTGGTTGTCGATCAATTTCCATGGCAGAAGAAAACTCTAATGGAACAAGACAAGGCAGAAGAGGTAACAAAACAATTGAGCTGTTTTTTTTCTGGGTGTCTAAATAATTAAAATTTGTCCGAGGCCAAGATAAGAAATAAACAAAGTAATACGAACTTCACTTTAGTTATCTCGAAATAAATAAACACCTATTAACGTATTATGAATTATAGTTTGAAGAAGGAGTACTTCATCCTGTATCCAAATATAAAAAAAATATTTCGTGATGAATAAGGTACAACGGAGTAAAAAAATTCGGCCAATCTTTTTGTTTATTCAAACAAAAATAAAAGTTTATAATAGGGTTTCTCTGTAGTTCAAAAGCGAAGTAGAAGACAACACCTGTTTCCTAAGCCGAAGTATCAACACATACTGAAAAAGACTTAAGAAAATGACATTTACCACATCAGTATATAATATTAATTACAACATAGAGAGATGAACATCCAAAATTCTAGGAGAAGATACGAGTATAGGCATGTTAATTTACTGATCTCTCCTCTCATTCAATATATATATATAAATATATATGTATATGCCGCTGTTTAAGGGTACCATCTTGTTTCTTTTCAAGATTTTATTTGTTTGCTGAAACTAAGAATACCAACCTGTTGCAGCCATAAATAAATTCTATTTGTCCCAACTTTTCTGGTGCTAATATATTTTAATTACAAATTCTTGTGAGTTCCGCCAACAAGGAAAGCTGATGTGCTACATATATCGTGCTTTGTTGGGCAATAAGCTCTTTCAGAGCTCCGTTGAATATCTTACGAGAACAAGAAAAAGAGAAGAAGCAAAAGAAAATGGCCTACTGCTCTTTATCAAAGGATGAGAACAGGGTTGATCATGAAGTGAGTGGTCTTGAGCTTACACTTTCAGTCATGGCCTCTTATCCTCACCCTTATATTCCCCTTCTGGATGCCAATTTCTCTACCTGTTTCTTCTCGTTGCTCGATGAAACCAGGGACCACAAGAGGCCTAAACGAGCCACCAGCATCCCTGAATCAATTGGCAGTTATAGCAGCCTTTATAGAGGGGGAGGCTCAAGCAGTGAAAGTATTATTAGCAGTATTAGCCACAGCAGCAGCACCGGCAGTCCAAATAGCCTGAGTAAGCTTTGTTTTCGAGATCATATAAGGACTTATACTCAGAGATACCTAGCTGCTGAGGCTGTAGAAGAGGCAGCAGAAGCCATGACTAATACAGAAGAAGGTACTGGAAGCATTAACGATCAAGAAGATGGAAGTGCAGATGCAATGAAGCTTCTTCAACTTCTTATTGCTTGCACGGAAGCTGTGGCTTGTCGCGATAAATCATATGCTTCTGCTTTGTTATCAGAACTACGAGCTGATGCATTGGTGTTCGGCTCCTCTTTCCAGCGTGTGGCTTCTTGCTTTGTCCAAGGATTAGCTGACAGACTTGCTCAGGTTCAGCCTCTTGGGACAATAGGCTTTGCCGCACCAGTGATGAACATAATGGATAATGCTTCAGATAAGAAAGAGGAAGCCTTTCGCCTTGTTTATGAGATTTGCCCACATATTCAGTTTGGTCATTTTGTGGGT